ATTTATGAATGACACAATATGACTCACATTTAAATAGATAAATAAAAAATTTCACCTAATACATTTGACCACTAAATACAAACAATTTCACCTAATAAAAAATGGACACTATTAGTTCAATTTATCATATTTGTCATTAAAAAAATGTATACTTTTTGAGATTTTTATTGATAAATCTCATTTAGAAGTGTTTTAATCTAAAAAGTTCATAAAGAAATTTTTTAACCCACTTAGTCTCATGTATATATATTTTTATTCCAGAAAATCTTTTTTCTTGACTTACACTATTTTTTTAGACTCTTATGTCCTTATATTTAATGTTGATATTTAATATCTCTAAACCCTAAACCAAAAAGGCTCTATTTTCATCAAACTTTAATGTTGATATTTATTAATGTCCCTAAACCCTAAACCAAAAAAGCTCCATTTTCATCAAATTTATTAAAAAATTTGACAATCTTATAAAATGGACACATTTCCGGAAAGTTCTTTAATGGCTTCAACGCCCTGAGAATTCTCTCTCATTTGATGTGAACGTTCACAACACATTTCTGAAAATTTTTCTCTCATCTAATATAGTAATGTGAACGTTCACAACACGTGAACAGTCTTATTTTTAAGCAGTGATAATAAGTTATATTCCTCCTTTTTGTGATTGTGATTACTATTGGTGATTACTATTGATAATGACAATCAACATTAAATATCAACATCATGTAATTGACAACAAATAATGTAATTGCCCCTTTTTATTATGAATATTTACGTCATGTTTATATTCAAATGAAAGTTGAGGATTGTGGTTTGTAATTTGATGCAATGCTGATGTGAATCTTAACATCACCTTTATCACAACATTATCTGATGTGAACATTCACACGTCATGTTTATATTCAAATGAAAGTTGAGGCATGTGGTAGTGTAATTTGATACAATGCTAATATGAACCTTAACATCACCTTTATCACAACATCATCTGGTGTGAACATTCATATTCACGTCATCTAATGTGAACATTCACGTCATCACGTACAGTTATATTTATATTCAAATGAAAGTTGAGGCTTGTGGTTATGTAATTTGATGCAATGTTGATGTGAACCTTAACATCACCTTTATCACAACGTCATCTGATGTGAACATCCACATTCACGTCATCTAATGTGATCAAGTTATCTACCTACAGCTCAAATGCCACTACCTTCGCAGCCACCTTCCACAGTGCAACTCAAATGAAAATTGATTAATACATTTAATATCACAGCATTACAATCAACAACTGTCATGTTAAGATGTAATAATATGTCATAATATCATCTAATTTATTTCTATTCAGAAAATGTTCTTTGTTTCTCGTCTTTTGTATTTGTTGAGACGAATGATATATTTTCTAAAAAGGAAAAGAATAAAACGATAGTTTTGTCTTTAAAAAGATTATAGTACAGTACATTAATTCACTTGAATTGATAGTTTGATATCTATCTTTGATCACTTTTTTTTTTCCTCTCTCTATCCTCACCATACATTTAAATAGTGTCATTTTTCTAAATATTTTTCATGTGAAAATATTTTTTATAATGAATTTTAAAAAAATATACCTAAAAATTAAAACTCAACACATTTTAAATTCTTAATAATTTTTTAAATATTTTTTTTCTAAGCAGACCATCTCAATATGAGGATAACTATTGAGGTTCTCTCTTATTTTTTATTTTTTTTCATTTGAGTGCCTACAATATCATTGATTTGTATTAAATTGGTAATTCGACAAGTATAAAATAATATAACATAGACACACAATTTAATCATATGCTTAAAATTATTTTCAATTGACTTTTGACCAAATCTATTTGTTAGTAGAATTATATAATATCGGTAAATCATTTAGAAAATATTTCTGAAAGAATTGGTAGATTTTCAACCCAAAATTATTAAGTTTGACAAAATATTGCATAAGAATGAAAGTAGATATGGTGTGCCATGTTTTTCTCTTTTCTTTTCTCCTTATTATTATTATAAGAAAAATATTTGAAAGCTCTAATTGAGCATTCCTAATCCACCCACAATGACATGGAATGACCATATGAAGAGGGACCCACACTCCTCATTCCTCCGCTCTCTATCTCTCTCCATTCTCTCTATTCCATCTCATTACAGGTCAATATGGAGATGATATATTAGGGGATGTAGCACCACTCTTATTATTGAGTCTCACGAATTAGAGGTCAACATGGGGTGATATATTGGGGGATGTAGCACCACTCTTATTATTGAGTCTCATGAATATAGGTTTGTTAAGGAAAAATGGCCTAAATAAATTTATATATATATATATATATATGAATATTGAAAAGTACGAAAAAATGTCTATTTAAATTCTACTATATGATTCTCAGCATTCAACTTGTTAAAAACTACACCAAACAGACTAGTAATAGTCTTCAATTGGAAAAGACTTAGCATTTGTTGTACTTAGTTTGGGATATAAAATCAGGCGATTAAACTATGGCCTATTTTAGGAAGTTGATTGGAAGTTAGTTTTTTGATTTTTTGATTTTTTTTAAATCACATCAGTTTTCTATTTTTTTTTTTACGTTTTTTTTAAAAGAAGTCAAAAAAATTTAAAAAAAATTAATTATTAACTTACTTTCCAATATAGACTTGTGTCGAGTCAATTCTAAATTCCAACTTCAGATATAAAAATGAGTCTTTGAATTGACAATTTTTTCATGCTATATATTTAAGAAGACTATTGAGTCTCATGAGGGGATGTGATACAAAATTAACCAACTAAAAAAGGTTCAGATTAGTAGATTAAAAGACCTCAATACTCTCAAATTATGAACATTACACCATGTTATCTATAAGTCTCTTTGTTACAATTTCTAGCAAGTTCAACTATTTTCTAATAATCAACTTCTTTGAAAAATTATTCAAGTTTATTTTTGTCTCATAAACTATAAAAGTTGCACTAATTACTTTGACCCAAATTTTTTAAATTATTATTATATATATATATAAACAATTTCATAAACTATACCAAACAATCTTGGGGGGGTGTTTGTTTGGTGGGATGAATGTATGGGATTAGACTCCATGTCTAACAAAGTGGATAGTCCGGTTAAAAAAGTGAAGGCCGAACTAATAGCCTGGTTGAACTAGTAATCCCTAATATATGGGATAACTCATGGAGATGTGGGATAGAAATGGGAGGACTTAGCCAACTTCTAAATTAGTTAGTTAAATGACGAAATTAACCCTTAAGTATATATATAAAATTTATTTGGGTATATTACAGTTACTTCCCCTGAGGTTTCTGACAAATACACTAGTTTCAATAATTACAGTAACCTCCCCTACTTTATCTGACAATGTCAAGATTCTCCCATTTTTTGATTGCCATTTACACACTTCACAGAATCTGCTGATGTTATCAAAGCTAAACACTAAAATGCCTATAATGCCCTCAGGTGTCCTCAACCCATCTATATATACCAATACCAAATATTGGCTCATCGTCCACCTAAACGTCTAGAACAGTGCTCCTTGTTTTCTCTTTTTTTTTTTTTTTTTTTTTTTTTTTTTTTTTTTTTTTTTTTTTTTTTTTTTTTTTACAATTGCAACCTTTTATTTAAAAATAGAACAACAAGTAGGTTATCCACAACTATTAAAATTTATTCTTATTTATTTATTTCATAGTATTACTCCAATCAAAATTTTAGCTTACTGTGAGGTGAACACTAGAAGCATAAACAATTAATTAGACAAACAATAACAAAGAAACATACACTTTAAGTCAAATTTCAATTTAATCCTTCTATTAAAACTTGGTTAATGTTTTGTACGATTGATAAATGCAAAATCATTAATTTTAACTTCCAATTTAAGCAGCATAACCAAATTAAAATTAGATTTAAAGTATAAAAAATAAAAATAAAATTTGAATCAAACTACAGAGATCAAAAGTATAATTAACTTCTTTTTTTTCATTTGAATGCCGGCACAAATAAGTATTAAATCAATCATGTGACATAATAGTCCAACTTAGACCTAATGTTTTTTTTTTTTTTTTTGGGTGAATATAGACCTAATGTTTCATTTTTTGCATAAGTTATTTTCAATTGACTTCACTACTAAATCCATTATAGGGCAAATTATATAAAATTGGTAAATTAGCCATGGAAGATTTTCAACCAACTGAATCCATTTTAGAGTGAATTATATAAAATTGGTGAATCACTTAGAAAATATTTTTAAAAGCAATGGTAGATTTTCAACCCAAAATTATTCAGTTTGACGTGTAATTGCATAAAAAACAAAGTAGATAGAGTGTGCCATGTCTCTCTTCCCTTTTTTTCAAAAAATAAAAATTTAAGAATTATTAAAACATGAATGTAGCTACTAGAATCTATGAATTTATTGAAACAAAAAACTAAACTTGATGAAGGACCCTATATTCATCCACAGTTTTTCATCCTAAAACATCCTCAGTCATAAAGATTTACTAAACTCAAATGTTACAACAACTAAACTTAACAGTAAAAAAGAAACATATGCTAATATATGGTATGAATATCGAGTATTTTTCTCGATCTTTTATTCCCCATCTTCTCCACCTACTATTCCATTCGCTTGTCTCTGGCTCTGCCTAAAATCAAGTTTTGATCCATACTTAACATATTCGCAACCTCCACTATTAGGTCATCCATCAACAATTTCTCAATTTCTATACCTATCGTGTCCACGCTATCCCCAGAATCGAGCCACTGCATCTCCCTATCCAACACCCTCTCTGTCATGTCCTCATGCATGCTCTTCTATTCACTTGCCAACAACTTATGCAGTTCATAACCGATCCCATGTTCCTGCCTTGTAAGGCCCACCTTCCCTATTGGTTGCTTTACCCATAGGAGTGGGTCCACGAACTGATGGAACATTTCAAAGAGCCCGAAATTTATGCGGTCAAATAGGAGCTTCCTTTTAGACCTCAATGACGTTGTCTAATTGGAATACTTCTTCTCGACGTTGTCAAATAAACAAGGGTCCAGATGGAAATCGAGAGAGTACCATGTTGACATGAAAGTGTCGGGGTCAGCATCATCATATCCAGAGTCGATTAGCACTTTAGCTAGATAGACAAATTCCCAACTCTCATCATTAAATACTTCATTGTCCTCGGAGACCGAGACAAATCCTTGGCCAACATCTTTGTCACTTGGTGTAAGCATTAGTCCATTTGCATTTGCTCCAAACTCCATCTTGAGTAGCTTAAGCTGCATTGGAAGCCCTACCAGTAACAAAGAACATAAAGAGTAATTAAAGCAGAGTAGTTAAATTGTAGTTTATCCTACAATGACTGATGTAGTATATGGAATTTATTGTACAATGATCGATGTATTATATGGAATGGACTTGATCTATGCTTATTAAAGGCCAGAAAAGGTGAAATCAAAAATTGACTTAGCTTACGAAGATTCATGTACCCTAATCCAAGATAAATGGTATAAAGCTAGTGAATCATACCATTATGGGCTAGATTCTAAGTTGCTCACACTATACTACTCATTAAAAGTCAGAAAGGTATCTTTTCGTTAATTGTATAAGATAAATGCTAACCCATTGCACCTATAGCATGTGTATAACTGTATGATGTCCCAATATTGCAATGAATTTTTTGTTATCATTTGTTAACATCATGGCTTTTGTATATGGGCCTAGCCAACACAACCAATATAACAAATTAGATGCAATGACCACAATTCCAACAATTCCGACACACTAGTAAATGAATAAAAAGTTTTTGTTTGGGTTACCGTGAAGATCAGCATTGACTCTCTCAAAGCAATTTGAACCAGGTGATATTACGTTTACATCTTCCACAAATAGGGCTTCCAAAACTGAAACCTAACTCGGATGATCAGCCTCATTTAAGCTTGCTAGAGATTGTGGTTCAGGTACTGGAAACTACAATTGAACCGTCTCTTCTTCAGATGGCCCAATTTGAGGTACCTAGGACATCATAAATGAATAAAAAGAATATCTTCAAATGAAAAAAGAAACATTGTTAATTTAATTATATTCACAGGAAGTATTGTGCAAGCATTTAATGTATGTATAATGCATTTATTGATGATAATGTAAAATAAAAAGAACTATCGAACAATTAAGAATCTCAAATAAATATTTATATTATGCACCATCAATTGTCTACAAGTTTCCAGAAAATCAATCCATTTCTAGCAAAATCAAGCCTCCCAAAAAGAAGCAAATGATGAATAGATGAAAATATAGAGCAAACTAATTCTGGTTGCGGTTACACATTTATATGTGCATACAAATGCGATTCCATACTTGTTCATTCTGTGTGGGTCCTCGTATGTCAATATATACAAAGACCAAACTGGGATTGACAGATCTGTTAAAACACATTTTGGATATAATTGACAGAGTACCACATAAACAATTACAAAAACCATAAGGGCAATGGAGAGTTTTGAATCAATTGAAAAAGAAAGAAAATAAAATAAAACAGAAGATAAACAGTTAGCATTAGGATAAAAATATTTTGAACTTTAAAGCTTTCTCAACACTACATTTTTTTTCCATCAAATTTTAAAAATAAAAATAAATGAACTCCTGCAATGTCCCACTTTCTGATAAATTCTATGGTGGATAAACAATTACAAAAATTCAAACCACCAATATCATGCAATCAACCCACTCTTGTAAGAAAAGAAACATTAGGTTTGGTTAAGATGTAGATTCAAAATGCTAACAAGGATCTACAATATAAAATACCAAGAGAAAGAAAAGATACAGTAGTCCGTTAATGTGCAAATCACACTGATAGTCATACTTCCAAACTCAAAATACTTCTCAAAATGTTTGTGACTCTGGATACTTTCGATATCATGTACTGTATCAATGTTTTTGATCTTATGATACACATTAACGTCAAAATATATAAAAATAGAAACAAACATAAAAGCAAATCAAAATATATAAACATATGTGCAGAAAAAAATTTAATGATTAGATAGTGATATACAGAGCAACTGAAACTGTTTTCCAAACTTAAAAATACTTTGCATGGATAAGATGTCAAGCAAGGACACTCCCACTTCCACAAAAGAACTGGCGGTTTTCAATTTGGCCAAGTCAATGTGGATGAGCATTATAACATGACGCAAAATGACATGAGGCAACCTCGATTGAACATAACAATAACGACACAAATAACACACGATAATTAGATGATTACATTGTTGGAACAATCTTTTGTGTAAATAAAATAAATTGAAATAATAAAAACGAAATAAAATAAAACTTACAGAATTTATTTTATTGAACTGAATCAATAATTAGAGACCAAGTCGAGTGTGTGACACTCTGTCCTTAAGACAAATTCGCCCCGCTATGGTGCTTACGGTTGTCACGCCCCAAAATTTGGACAATTAAATATTAAATTAGAACTAACCCCAATCAATATTCCATCATCCAAATCCTAGGGGTGAAACAAAAAAAAAAAAAAAAAACGCCAACTAAACCATCCACCATAATCTCATTACTAACAAATACCTCAACATTAAGTGCCAACAACTAGTCCAAACAACTTAAATAAAGTACGGTTACAAACCATGCCAAATTATTCCAATACTAAAGCCATAAAAAAAATACATAAATTAGTATCAACCTTAAGCTCAAGAAAATAAAACAAGTCCAAACGACATGTCCTACGATCACAGTTATTTCTGGTCACCACCATAGCCTCAACTAATCCTGCAAATGAAGCTCGGCTGCGCTCAAACAGAACGCACTCGAGTTGCCAAGAGGCAAAACGGGTTAGTATACAGGTATACTGGTATGAGTACAAGATTTAACACCTACGTGTCCACCAGACACAGACAAAAATACATTTAATTCTTACCACGGGACAAGACAAGTAGTTCCAGCCGTACCGAGACGAATGGGTAGTTTCCCGAGATACGGTGGCATTTAGTTTCTTGTCCGTACACAACGAAATATAAATTGATTATAAAATAGACAAAATAGAAATAAAAATATGGTGGGTCAGCCCTGCATAAAAAGTTAGTAAGACCCACCATCCTGCAAAACAAATTAAGTTAGTATAATTTAATCATAAGTAACTTGTTGAAAAAAAAACATATAAAATTACACCGTTTCATACTTAAATAATTCGAATTGATCAAAACTCAAAGAACGAAAGTTGTACAAATCAAATTTCCTAAAACACATTGCGAATGATTTAATAGAAACTGAACAGGTTAAGAGAAAACTTGATATAAAAATCTAGACAGAATTCATCGAAAAATCTGAAGCTGAAAACAACCAAAACTGCCTAAGATGATTTTTTTTGGAAAAAATTTCAAAACACGAAAAGTGTGCAAAATAATGTTTTACTTCAGTTTACGCGAAACAATAAAAATGAGCTCGTTTCTGGATTAAAACAGCCTCTAAAATCTGCCTTGCTAAAATGAATCAAACCGACAATAATCAAGATCATCCGATTATAAGTTCTAATCGAATTTTTTAATAAAAAGCTTAACACAAAAGTTGTCCAAAAATCACACATACAAGCCTCTGCTCAAATTTCATTAATTTATCGAGATCATTTACTATTTTTTTATCATGTACAAATCAATACCAAATCACACTATACTAATAAATTCATAATTAAATTCTTTATACCTTAACTCCACCACTTCGGCCCTCCCCTTCCGGCCTACACATATATCCCATGTGCCTCCCGTATACCCTAAACACCGCTCCGAAGCCAAACTTGCACGGGGATATCGTCCCGAGTTTGACTCACACTCCCCGGAATGGTTAGCATATACTACGAGCGCAAATCAAGCACTCGTCTACTCATGAGAACGAGGCAACAATATTATATACACAACATCTCACACATGAGAATAAACATAAACAATGTCGAGCCTAAGGCATTCAAATAAATCTCAATAATCCTCACTTTTTTTATACACTCTTTCTCCCCATCACTCAAATAAAACAACAATCCACGGAGTCATGGTGGAGTATAAGGAATTTATTTATAGGTTCATATTAATTTTAAATTTCATATGACCATGAGTGTAATTACAACCATAAAATAAATCCATATAAAAATCATAAACATGGCATAACACAACTAATCCAAATAAGTAAAACATCCTTCATTTACATGCACAATACAAAATCAATCCAACATCAAATAAAAAAATAAATAAAAACAACGAATCAATCCATCCTCTAACCAATATCTATGGATTCTAAGTTTATTTTAATTTTATTAATCATGAGTGTGATTACAATCATAAATCAATCATATAAAAAAAACCCCTAAACCTTGATGCAACTAATCAAAATAATTAAAACAATCATCATCTAAACCTAAACCTTACATAAACAACCAATCAAAATAATTAAAATCCAATCAATCATCTATAAACCCAAACCTTACTTACACAACTAAACAAAATAATTAAAATTTATCATCATCTAAAAATCACTAAACTTTACCTACAACAACTAATCAACAAGTAATTAAATCAATCAATTATCTAAGAACCTAAACTTTACGTACACCCACTAGTCAAAATAATTAAAATCAATCTATCATCTTTGTGTGATACAATCAAACTAATATCAAAATAAATAAATAAAAACAAAGAATTAAATATAAATCAAGGGAAGTGGAATTTTGTACTCACAATTATTTTGAAGATCAAAAAATCACTCAAAATTAAAAAGTCACCCAAAATAAAACCCTAACCTGCATACCCAACTAATGCAAATAAAAAATCAATCAATCATCCAAAAACTCTAACCTTACATACACGTCTAATCAAAATAATTAAAAATTAGTCATCATTTAAAAATTCTAAACCTTACATATCCAACTAATTAAAATAATTACAATCAATTAATTTATCTAAAATCTTAGACCTTAACATATACACTAATCAACATAATTAAAATTAATCAATCATCTAAAAATCCTAAAACCTTACATATACATCTAATCAACATAATTAAAAATAATCAATCATCTAAAATCCTAAACCTTACACTCAATATAATTAAAAATTTTACAATTAATAATCATCTAAAACCTTAAACCTTACATATTATATCTAAATCAACATAATTTAAATTAATCAATCACTAAAAAATCCCAAACTACAACCCAATAATTAAATATTACAATAATTAATCAGTCTAAAAAACAAACCTTACATATATCTAATCAAACATAATTAAAATTAATCAAATCATCTAAAAACAATTCAAACCTTACATACCCAATAATTAAAATTAACATCATTACATCAAAAATTCTAAACCTTACATATACGTCTAATAACATAATTAAAATTAATTCAATTATCTAAAAAAAATTCCAAACCTTACATACCCAACTAATTAAAATATTACAACATAATTAATCATCTAAAAATCCTTAAACCTTACATATACGTCTAATCAAACTAATTAAAATTAATCAATCATCTAAAAAATCAAACCTTACATACCCAACTAATTAAAATTATTACAATCAATTAATCATCTAAAAATCCTAACCTTACATATACGTCTAATCAACATAAAAAATTAATCAATCATCTAAAAAAAAATCAACCTTACATACCCAACTAATTAAAATTATTACAATCAAATTAATCATCTAAAAATTTAAACCTTACATATACGTTCTAATCAACCTAATTAAAAATTAATCAATCATCTAAAAAATCCAAACCTTACATACCCAACTAATTGAAATTATTACAATCATTAATCACTAAAATCTGAACCTTCATACGTCCTAATCAACATAATTAAAAATAATCAATATCTAAAAAATTCCTAAACTTTACATATAC